AATGAATGCATATTAAACATTTGAGGCAATGATTAGATATTTTCCCATCTAAATATTGGTTATAGCCATGTACACAAAATATGTCTATATATTTCAGTATTATGTAGAAATAGATATCACATCATATGGCTAAACAAATAGCTTACAGTATTTCATTTTTTCTCCATCCTTCCCTAAAGAGTATTTTTCTCACATATATAAAAGTCACAGCACTAATCCATTAGTAATAGGCAAATAGTATGTAGTTGGGTATCCAGCACTGACACAGCTATTTAGACTAGACTGAAATTAAATTTAAACTGAGATTAAGTTCAATTTCCATTCCATTGTGCAAATATTTCCCTAAATTTATAAGATGACAGAAAAAGATCAACGGTATTTGGTGATGACAAATTTCTTACTGTGAACCAAGATGACTTACATATATACATGATCTGAACGGAAAACCTTGTCTGTGTTAACACTCTGCTTTCACCAACAAAATTAATCAAACTAACTGTAAATCTCTGCTTTCTACCTACTCAAATTGAAATTCATTATCTTGTTATCTAGTAAGAAATGATGCCCAGACTCCCTGCAAATGTTCTGTGTGCACACAACACAATACGTAGAGTGAGCCCTTGAAAACAGTCCCACAGCACTACCAGTGTCCATGCCTGTACTTGCAAGGACTGGACCTGACTCTGTGTTTCATCCGCCTTTTAGATGAGTATCGCCTTCCCTGCCTCATTCCTTAGTTTTCTTCCTATAGTTATTTGTACCTGAAGAACAAAACTACCCCACCAGATGAAATGCCGTTAGCAAAAATGTCCAAAATGCAGGCCAAGAAAAATTTAGGAATAACACTACTGCACTATGGATTTTTAAGAAATTAGGAAGATCTTCCAGATAAGAAGGGAAAATAGGGAGATGAAAGAAGGAAATAGCAAAATAATCAATTAAATTTTGAAAAAGGCAAAGCCCGTGGGGATCCAGATCCAAAATTATTCTATTTAATCTTGATGACATTGTCTAACTCCCTCTATCTTTCCCCTTTCTGGCTAATTTTTTCTTCTCCTGTTTCTCTCTTTCTCTCTCCTTTACTTCTGATTTTTTTTTCATATTCTTCCCCTTTCTCTCTCATTATTATAATCTTCAGTTTTGTCAAAGAAACCCACCCATTACTTTTTTAGTGTCTGGTAAGAAATCAGATACAGATGATATAGAAAGAGTCATAAGACATAGTTTCTTCCTTACACACAGGTTACAATGAAAGTAAACGCACTGATTAGTAAATAATAATATTAATACCACCATCAACAATAAATTGAAATAGTATGTGAAAAATGCCACAGAAGAGTGGCAAAAAGTGTGTGATTTCAGTGGAGATATTTTGTGGCATGCGTGACGGAAGGAAACATTCAACAGGAAATAGGACTTGCACAGAGCCTTCGAGGTCCTGAGGAAGTGTACAGAAGCCAAGCAGCGTGTTGAAACTGCCTACTGTGGCTTCTATTTTAATGAATCATACAAGAAAAAAGAAAAAAACAATCCCTGCCCAGCTCCAGGCCCAGCTCCTAGCTCATTGGTGGACTCAGTTGCTCTGGCGAGGTGTTTAGCATAGCTACCAAAGGCAATGAGAAGATATCAGAGGGATTTTTCTTCTCCGTTCCTTTTAGATTTTTAAGGTGTAGAGCATAGAAAGAAATGAATGAGACTTCAGTTAGATTAGGAAACTATAATAATACTCCAGGTAAAAAATGATAAAGGCATGAATTAAGATGATGTCAAGGGAGAAGAAGAAAGAAGAAAAGATTTTAGAGATTATTAAAAGTAAAATTGTAAGACTCAAGGAGCATTAAATACACTTCAGATTTCTTTTCTTTTCTTTTCTTTTTTTTTTTTTCTTTTTTGCACCTCACAGGAATGAGTATGGAGATGAGAAACAGGATCATCAATACGTAGCAGGTAATGGTAAGGAACTCTGAGCACAGAAAACAAGAATAAAACTGGCCAAGAATTAAAGCCCATAGAACCCTGATATTTAAAAGTAGACAAATATGAAGAACCAGAAGATAAATAAGTAGATATTTGTGTGTGTGTTATATAACTCACACATAAACACTAGACTATAATGTGTATATAGGTATATGTATATTTATATGAAGAATATAGAAATATCTATATTCCTACACTAGTTAATTGTCATCGGTGAAAAGATATCAAGTAGCCTAGAACACAGAAAAGACCCAGCTCAAGCTAACCTCTCTGCCTCTCTGCTTAGTTATATAGAACGAGACAGGAATAGGAAAGACAGACGCCCCTCCCCAAGTGCACTTTACCCTTTCTCAAACAAAATGCGTTTCAAATTCTAAGCAATGATAAGAATCACAGGCAGATTTTTATTAGAAAAATACTTGTAAAAGACTTATACAAAATAATGTTCACATCCCCAAATCTCTAAATTATGGAGAATTTAGAACTTAATAAGATTGCTTATTAAATTCAATTCACAATTTGTTTTGAAAGCCTGTGATGTGCAAGGCATAATACACGTTTGTAACATGAAATATGTCTTTAATGTATCTGGGGAAATGGAGAATATGACCAGGAAGTGAAGCTAAACTGTTATAACTCGTAACTCACACAACTCATATACTCTAGCTGGTATGTTATAGAGGGAGAGATTTGCCCAGCATTACACCTTCTTTAGAGCCAGAGAACACTCGTCTCTACCTGCATTCTCAAAACTATCATTGTCCCCTAGAATTATTTAGAAATGTTCAACAAATGTTTCCAGTTATCGTGGCAAAGAGGCACAGAGCAAGGAGATTATAAGCTTTTGGGTAGAGCTCAACCCAGCATTGTTGCCATGGCAAAGTTAATTATGCCTGGCCTGCATTTGTAGCTTAGATATTAAATAACACATCTGAATTATGCATATATTTATCCATTAATTGATGTCTCTCTACATTTGGCTCTGTGTTTTTTTTTTTTAAATTCCTTTATAGTACACAATACAAACTTGATGCCCAAAAGCCTATTATTTCCTATGATCACTAAACTCAATTTTAACAGGTTAAAATCAAACGTAATCAAACTCTTTTGTTGCTAATAAGGAAAAATACATAATTTAAAATATTAACAACTTCCCAAATCATACATTGAGTCACAAAATGTCTCTCAGCACGTCAAAGATGATAAGTAAGATTTTTCAGACACAGATAATTAGATCTATATGTTAAACAAGATTTGCAGACACAGATAATTAGACCTATATTATTTTCTGAAAATAACTTTAAATTTCAGGAAGACTATCAATACCTTTTAGAAAAAGTATTTGCTTTAGATATATATGTAAGCAATTGAAGTTAAGCTTGATCCTTCATAATAAATCTACGTCTATCTATCCACTTATTTAAGTACAAATTGTTCGGCACAACTGATTAAAAGTTTTCTAGATAATTTTATACTTTTGATCATAAATGCAAAGATATTCCTTACAGTAAAAATCCTTAATAGAGTGAGCTGAAATTTTATGATGATTTGCTCTGTGTCCTACAAAATATTTCAGTGATTCTTTGTGCTCATTTAGAAATGCTTCACAATAGTTCTTGAGGGGGAATTTTTAATCAATATTCACTCTGATTTATGAGATACACGTATTGTCACCCGGTTAAAATCATTATTCATTACAATTTGGATTTTATTATGATAACTAACTTTATAAGGAAGATAGTTTGTTAAGCATTTTTTGTACTAAGACAAAAATGCTATATTTATATCAAAAAAAATTGAACCCAACTTTGCAGTAAAAAACAAAACAGTGTCTTATGCTACTTTCCACTCTTCTTGGTTACACAAAATATCAACGAGCAATGTAACAAGCTCAAGAGGTAGCTACTGCCCTGCCTTTCAGAGGAAAGAAGAGTGGTGGAAAGTCAAAAACAGATTTCAAAGTGAATTCCAGTAGGCGAGACTTTTAGCAAAGATTTTCTTTTTTTTTTTTTGTTTGACTTATTTGGAATTCCTACAAAAATGTCATTTTCAATGCCCTTTCAATAAAGAAAAACAGCTTCTAGATACATCATAAGGAGTTATATTAAATACCAATTTATTAGTTACATTTAACAATCAACCGAAATGCACTCATGACTCAAACTAAAACTATTCAAGAAATGTCCATTAAATAGATAAGTATACAAAGATCTTCAACTTAAATGACTGCTTGAGAATCCCTATAGAATACAACATTTGCACGAATATTAAGAGTTTAAATATTTTTATCTCATTAGGGCTCTGATATTTACCCATCACCCAGGAAGGGCGGTGGCCCCATAAAAATTTCCAAAGCAAATAATCATTAAAACTATGAGGAAGAAAACCATAAACTTCTTTTAAAATACATCTGTGTTAAGAATATGCATCAAATTAATATTTTATTAAATACCCAGATGTACAATTTTAGACTATCATATATAGCTAAGTACTCAACAAAAATATTTTAGTAGTAATCAAAATTTGAGGAAGCAAACTCCAGTTCAGAAAGAAAGAGTGGCTTACATGCAACCAAAGCCATATTACGACTTAAAAAACAAAAAAACAAAACAAAGCAAAAAAAAAAAAACATTTTTTTTTGTTAAAAGGATGAAAATTCATTTACTTTGTCATTAAGATTTCTTTAGGCTTTCATAAATTCACATTCATGTATCTGAGGCTTAGGCAACAACATTACTTTTGTAATATCTTTAAACGGTTTGTAAACAAAGATACGGAGAGACAACGTCTCTTTTAAATTGTGATTTTTCTCCCCATTTATGCCTTTTTAAACAGTAACAATGTATCCTATCACATAGAGCCATGTCTCTCTGAGCTACAACAGCCTTGACCATTTTATGGTGGGTGAGCTTCCTCATTTCCAGTCACCAACACTTAACTTATTTTTTTGCCTATTTCAAACCAATGTCCCGCCACAAAGAAAAAAAAAATAACTAGGGATATATTAATATACTTGTACTTACCTGTAACAAACACTCCTGTATCCAGAAAGGCAAAGCCAAATGCCAGAAGTTTAAGCCACAAGTACATGGTCATATCTGGAGATCAGCCGTATTCCTATGAAACAGCATGCGTCCTTCTGAAAAGCAAAATAATAGTTATCTCTGCAAAAGGTTTTCTTTGTGAAACTGAATCAAAAATAAAAGAAATGAATGCATACTCTTTGCTGTTGTCTTATCAGAGAGGGAGCAATTTCCTCCTCTGCTAACCCTAAGGACAAACCACTTTGCTAGCTACACAAACTGCTAGGTAGTGATGTCAGATTCGGTTTTACTAACTTCTCCAAAAATACTGTAAAGGATCTTCTTTGCAGGAAGTCAAGAAAGTTGTTCAAAGTCAGTGCAAAAGCCTCCTACTTCCTTAATTCAAGTAATTAGACCAAGTTAGTAGGCCTTTTAAATGATTTTTTTTCCTTCAGGGAAGATGTTTTTTAAGTCTCCAAATAATACGCCCTTGTAATATTCATTGCAGCTTTTAAAAAAATCATATCCCCACCCCCCAAATAATCAATAATTCTCTTACCTAAGAGAGGATAAAACAGATTCAGGGGAAGGATGACAAAATGGGGGTTGGCAAGATGACATACTGATTGAATCTGTAGGAACTACCTGTATTTGTTTCAACAACCAAAACAACAACAAAAAAAGCACAATTACCTATCTGGTTATTTTTTTGCAACCTGTATCATTCACTAGGAAGATATTCAACCCCCCACCAATAGTCAAACCCATTTTCCTCTGCAAAGGCACTCTCAGGAAGCTGAACAGCTTTGCCCCAAATCTTCCACACATACCCTGGTGGGGCTAGCAATGGGATCAGAGTCACATCTAGAGCAGCAAATCCTGCTTCAAAAAAAGAATGCTTCTGTGACCTGAGGTCTCCTTGGTGCTATTGGTGAGGGAAAGAAGGCCAGTGAATTGAGAACTGGTTTTTGTGTTGTTGCTGTTTTTTTTTTTTTTTTTAAGAAAAGCTAACATTTTCTCCCCCCACCCCCCCAGTGACACACTCCCAATCTTTTTGATTAAAAAAGACAGCAGGTTAAAATATGGCGCTTTTCATGATTCTGATGGTGTTGTTAGCAAGTCCCTTGATTGGGAAAATGGTACTGGCACAAAGCTACTAGGAATTCAGTCATACAATTAAACCAATTGGCATCATTACCACAGTGTCCAATTCATTTAAAGAGAATAGTGCACCTGTACAAAGACACTATTATTTGAGGCACCTACGATACTTAAGAGACTTGCAGACAAACCGAATCCTTGCAGTAACTCTACGATCCTGGGTTAGAAACCTACTACTGCAGGGTTCTTGTGTTTCAGGGAATAGATCTTCTCATATTTATAAACTTACTGTCTTACTCTGTCACTGATTACCGGGAACCCAGAGCCAAATTTGCACACCTTCCTTTGAGCAAATGAAAATGGTCCCACGTCTGAAATTCTGAATAATGACATTGTAATGAGATTTTGGGGGGTATGATTTTGATTTTATTATGATTATTACCACAGCTAAGTTACTGGGCTGTTGCTAAGTCCCGGAATATGCTCAGCCCTTGAATTGTGTGTTCTAATTTGTACAATAATGCATAAGACGGACTGTGGTGTTATTCCCCATCTTACCTATAAAGGTCAGAGGGCTTAGGTGCTATGCCTAAATTCTCAGAGCTAAGAAGTAGACCGGTTATGCTTCAAATCATCTCCAACTTTCATGTCACTTTCCTTTCTTGCTTTACTAACCTTCTTCATTTTTCTCTCTTCTTTCCCTAATCTTTCTTATATGTATTTAAAAAATGTTTAATCCCTAAAAGAATATTGATTCCATAAACATGTTGTTCTCTTTTGTTTTGATTTCTCTCTCTCTCTCTCTCTCTCTTTTTTTTTTTTTTTTTTGCAAATGTCTTCTTAAATAAAATAGCTGCAAATGTGGGCACTACTCTTCAGGAGGTAAGCCTGATGAGAAGGGCTTGTCAGGAGTCAGAAATTCAAGTACTCAGCTCCAGAGCCGATTTCTCCAAAGACATTTGCAATGGAAAACTACCTGGGGGTTAGCTTTCAGTATCTGTAAGCAAATACTTGTGTTCTCTTCACTTGCTGTTATGGCAGCTTATTTGGCAAAGCGAGAGGCCAGAAAAAACTAGAAGCCAGGAAGGGAGCCCCTGACATGCAAGGGAGTTAAGTATAAAAAGTAAGCTCTACAACAGGCTCAAGGTAGGAGGGGTTTTGAAGCCTTCAAAAGAGATTTTTAAAGGGGCTTGTAGATCATGGCTTTGAAGAAGTGGGAAGAACTTAGGAGATTGAATTCCATCTTAGACAAGTGGGCAGACTCTACCCAAGAAACACTGAGATTAATTAGCAACACGTGAGTTGAGTTCTATACATACATTTTTTTAGCATATTACAATTGAATTTGGTGTCTATGGGAAATATGAGACTTTGGGAAGTAAAATTCATGTTGTATCCTACAAAGGTGTGAAGAAATAGAGCCTCTTGAAGACAGAGAGCAGTGGCTAAGTATGTTTAGGGAGCCTCAGGGTGGAAGCAACGGTGAGCCTGAGGCTTGATGTTCCTGAGACGCAGAGAATCAGGAGGGAGACACAAAGGAAGACCCCCCACCCCCCAGTTAGCTGGGGGAAAGAGCACGGCTCCCCTCTGAGAGTGGACAGCACTAACCTGGATTCTCTAGGCAGGAGCCTGGTCAGGAGCTGGCCTTCCCACAGGGCAGCTGAGGAACCCTCTGCTTTATCACATGTAGGCCTAGCATCCAAGCCCTACCCAGGAGGAGCAAAACAGCCTCAGAGAAATGGGACTCTTGTGACAAACTGATGGGATCTACTCTCTTGATTCTGAGAGAGAGAGAGGGCAGGCTGCTGACCAATGTATACATTCAAGAACAACTGAGGCTGGAAAGTGACCAGGAAACAGCATCAGAACTTAAATGTAGTAAAGAGTGTGGCACTTCTTGCATGGTTGAGATGGTACGAATCCAGAATCATCTCCAAGCTTGATCAATAAGATTTCAGAGTAACCATAGCTGACTAACTTCGAATAGATTTTTAAATAGGTAAATTTTTTAAATAGGTAAATTTTACCTATTTTAAATAGGCAAAAAAGGTACTATTAAATAGGTAAATAACATTTTATTAAAATTAACCATCATTGCCCAGATATTTCAGTCACATATAATAGAGGTTACATAAAGAACAGAGGGTCCCCGGGGTGGCGCAGTGAGTCGTTGGCGTCTTGGTTTCAGCTCAGGTGGTGGGATCCAGTCCAGTGTCAGGCCCACACTCAGCACCGAATCTGCTTAAGACTTTCTCTCCCCTACTTTTCCCCCCGAACCCCTCTCCCTCTCGCTCATGCTCTCTCTCTCAAATAAATAAATTCTTTAAAAAAGGAAAGAAACAGATTATATGAGATAAACTGCAGAAGCGGACATTATTCATCCTCTCCTTCAATAAATACATAGTTGTCCCTAGCATGTAAGACAGTTATTTTTTTCTAATGTGAAGAGAGAATGGTGAGCAAGACCAGACATGCCCCCTCCCTACTCCACGTTAGTGGGAGGGACAATAAGAAATTAACTAATCACCGTGACAAGTTCAGCACACAGGATGTACCTGATGTTATTATTGAAACGTACAATAGGGTATTTGGCCAAGTTGTGGGTGAAGTTTCCCTGTAATAAAAAGCAATGGATGTAGACCTAAAAAAACATAATGGAAGGTGAGTGGGCATGGGGAGGGAAAAAAAAATTCTGGGCAGAAAGAACCTTATATTTAAAGAAGGAGAGTGTGTGTGTCCAAGTGTCCAAGGAACAGAAGGAGACACGTGTGGCTGGCACAGAGAGAAGCAGAGCCTGGAATGTGTGTTCCATAATATAAAATATAAATATAAGAAGTCAACACATTTTATCCTTTAAACTTATACCACGTGATGTATCAATTACATCTCAATTAAGAAAAAAAGGATTCAGAAAAAAAAAGAAAGAAAGAAAGAAAGAAATTAAGAAAGAAAAGGAAAGAAAGAAAAAGAAAGAAAAAAGAAAGAAGGAAAAAAGAAAGAAGAAAGAAAGAAGAAGAAAGAAAGAAAGAAAGAAGAAAGAAAGAAAGAAAGAAAGAAAGAAAGAAAGAAAGAAAGAAAGAAAGAAAGAAAGAAACCACAAAGAAAAACACATGAGGTTTCGGAGGGAGATGATAACCAAACTCTGAGAGGCTTTGTGGTTCTAAGAGATTTGACTTTATCTTAAGAGATATACGGGGAGTTGTTGAAATTTTTTAAGCATTATTCTTGAATCGTCCTGCCAATGATTTCCATTTTGCCGGATCTTGTGCCGTCACTTATTTCTCTGCTCTCATCTTATGTGATTTCTCAGGACCATTAACTATGGTCAGCCTCCCTCCCTCCCTTGTCTTTTGGCAGTTTCCAAAACACCATTGCCTTTGGATTTTTCTTGACGCTCACTAGGTCTTACCCTCAGCAGCTCCCTGCTGAGTCCTGTGTCTGTACCTGACTTCTAGGCATTGTGGTACGTGAAAGCCCAGTTCTGGGCCTAATTCTCTCACCTGGGTGAGCTCTTGCATTCTGGTGACTCAGAGATCTATACCTCCCATCAGAGCTCCAGTCCAGGTCTCTGGACTCCCGTTGGGTCCCGCCTTCTTGACCTATACTCTAGATTGCCACATGGCCAACTCCAGAGGATGTGAAAGCCTTCTTTAAATCTCGCCCAGCTCCCCATCTTATCTGTATCTGCAAATGCACCAACGTGTATCAAATGACTTATGAAACCTCAGTGTAATTTTTTTCATTTCTCCTGCTCTATCACAATTGCATTCAATTTATTATCAAGTCCCATTTAGTCTATCTCCACCATCTTAACTGTGCTCCATTTCCAATTATATCACTGAGGACCAAGCTCCCAACACTGCTGAAACCATCTTGTAACTGATCTTCAAGTTTCTATCTTATATCCCTTCAGTGTTTCTCCCATGGAGCAATAGATTTGAACTTTTTTTAAAAAGATAGTTATTTTTTTTTGAGAGAGAGAGAGAGAGAGAGAGAAAGCATGACCAGGGAGGGGGCAGGGGCAGAGGGAGAGGGAGAAGCAGACTCTCTGCTGAGCAGGGGGCCCAACACAGGGCTCCGTTCCAGGACGTTGGGATCATGACCTGAGCCAAAGGCAGACATTTAACCAACTGAGGCACCCAGGCGCTCCTGATCTTTTCTAAATACAAAGCAAGTTATGGTAGA